TATTGTACAAGTCATTACAGGGCGTAAACAAATTGCACTACATACTCTCGTGGCTAAATAATATTTACGACAGGCCTTGTAAAATAGAATAACATCTTTTGAATGTGGATTTACAGAAGAATGATGAAAATATCCTTGAAACGAATTAAAGCCAACAGAGAGATATTGTACAAGTCATTACAGGGCGTAAACAAAATTCACTTCGTGAGCAATTCCAGGCAGGATACAAGCCTTCCCACAGCACGGAAACTGCCCTGCTTCGTGTAAAGCAGGACATTCTTCAATAGATTGACCAGAAGAGGGAAGTACTACTTGTGCTACTAGATCTGAGCGCTGCCTTCGACAGCATAGATCATTCTATTCTGCTGTCAAGACTTCAGACTGAGTATGGCATAAAGGAGACAGCCCTTCAATGGTTTACATCGTATCTCACTGGACGTTCCTCACGTGTCTCTGTGAAGGGGAAATATTCTGAAACTCATTACACTAGATACGGCGTTCCGCAAGGCTCAGTACTTGGGCCTCAGCTTTTCACGATGTACATCCGACCTGTTGGAGATATCATCAAACGCCATGATCTCCAGTATCATCTTTACGCAGATGATACTCAGATTTATTGTAGTTTTGATCCACGCAATCAAGCTAGTCTCGATGAAGCCTGCAATAGGTTGGAAACATGTATAGGCGAGTTGAGTCGATGGATGACAAGCAATATGCTGAAACTTAATGAAGACAAATCGGAAATCATCATTCTGTCATCCAGCAGACTCCGCCCTTCAGGTGATCTGAGCCTGCAGATTGGAAACGCCACTGTAAACAGTTGATCCATCAACAACTGTTAAAAATCTTGGTGTTTATTTTGACCAGACTTTGTCAATGTCGGAACATGTTCGTAGAGTGTGCCAGGTGGCCAATTTCCATATGAGAAACATATGTCATGTGAGAAAGTACCTTACAGGTGAAGCTTGTAGTCATGCAGTACGTTCTCTAGTTTTGAGCAGGCTTGATTACGGTAATTCCCTTCTGGCAAATGTGAATGCCGGGGATTTAAAAAGACTTCAAAAAATTCAAAATCGAGCGGCTCGTCTGGTGCTTGGTGCAAAGAAAAGAGAGCCAAGTGCTCCTCTGTTGAAGCAACCACACTGGCTTCCCATCAAACAGCGAATTGAATTCAAACTAGCACTTTTAGTGTACAAGGTAGTGCTTAATGCATTCTGCTCCACACTATCTGTCTATCATGCTTACTACTCCTCCAGTTTCCAGATACCATCTACGTTCACGGAACGATCAGACACTATTACTGATCCCACGCACCAACACCAAGGCAGCCGAACGCTCATTCTCTTATGCTGGACCATCCACCTGGAACACTCTACCACAACACCTCCGCCTATGTAGTACAGAAGACACTTTCAAAAAGAAACTTAAAACCCAACTCTTTCCATCTTGAATCCATAATGTACATTTTGAGTAGCTAAATTTTCTTTTTGTTCATAATATCTTAATTACTGTTCCTTGTTTAATTGTTATGATTTGTATGTCTCTTTTCTGTTGAATAGCGCTCTGATCAGTTTGTCTGTAGTAGCGCTCAATAAGAATCAATTATTATTATTATTGTTATTATTACATACTCTCGTGGCTAAATATTATTGATTCTCGATGATTAAGCCGACCATGGAGTGTACTATCAGTCATTTCCGTTGTAAGAACAAAATTAATGTAATAATTATAAAATGGAGGAGAAAATGTGTTTCATAATGAAGATTAAACATAGTAGTGAATGTGATTAAGTAGACACAAAAAAATTGCCAGCTTGGAAGAGTTATAAAAGCATATTTTGTCTTTTGACTATCTCTTATGTAGGGCGAGAAGGATTTGGTGAAGACAGACGGAGTCTAAAGAAAGGACCAATGCCATGGCGAAAATTACCTCTTTTTTCTGATCGATATTAAGGCGACGATAATATGACAATAAAATGTAGCATAACAAAGTTAAGCTGTTCATGGACGACAATTTTCATCTACACGCAGACAAAATCACGAGTCAGTTACGAGACGATTTGTTGTATTTAATAAAGATCATAAGCATTGTACTATTACACACTGAATGTATTATAATAGTATGCCAGTAAATGAGTAATACCTGTTATCTCATAAGATTACAGTTTAATGCATGTATATATCTATCTTCTAAAATATCTTTGCCACCGTCAAACACAGATGTGTCTAGGCCTATGATCTCTAATCACAAACAGTATATATATTCAGCTATCCGCATAAACAACTACTGTATTCTTTATAATCTGCACATTTTGCAGAATTTTGCTGAATATATATACTGTTTGTGATTAGAGATAATAGACAACTCTACTGCCACTGGTATGGTTTTACCTGACTGCTAAGAAAGCATACATGCTTGTAAGTAAGCAACCAGACGTCCGACGGCTTTAGGTCCTCTCCGAGGGACCTGGTAATGAGGATTAATGCCTTACCAAAGGGCACTATAGCCATTAACTCGTCACTAGGACCCCAGGAAAGAAACCTCCATAGTTTGAATATGTTAAAGGTAAAGACCAGTTATGGTCATGCGATTGCATTGTGAAAGAAACGTTGTGGAATCGATCAGAAAAGGTGCTAGCATCTAGCATCTGCAAGGTTCTGGAATCATCAAAATGATAAGAAATTTGGCCCATTCTTCGTAAAGTTACAAGCACTATACACAGAAAGATGTATATGGGACTACCCTATATCTCTCACAGACCATGAGAGAAACAAATTTACCAAATATATGAATTAGTAGGCGGTTTCCCGGCAAATTTTTTATCATCGTGTATTAGTCAAAACATATTCTTTCACATGATTGGTAATGAGAGCTTCCATTTCATTTTTTGAAATTGGGGCGTTTCCAATACTGGTCTTTACCTTTAATAAACCGGTCTGTTGATTACAGTTCACTCACTCCCCTGGCCTGGCGCCTGAGACGAGTCAAGGGTTCTCCATCTGGTTCTATGTACTCTGGGCGCTGAACTAGTCGATTGTTTAATAGTCATACGGCCTTCAGCTCTCTTTTTCTTAGTCTTCCTTGGCTTCTTTTCCCCTAACTAATAAGGTGTCCAGTGTAAAATGTGTTTGGGTTTGGCATTAATTAGTTGACATGCGGCAAACATGTCCGAGACATGCAAGGTCTAATTATTAATCTTAGTTTCCTTTATTGTAAAGGATATATTTGTTTCCAATCCACTATACCACATAGAGCTACGTGCACTTCCACTATTCGTTACAAACACATACAAACAAGCACGCTCGCGTGCACATGCACACACACACACGCACACACACACACTCACACAGACACACACACACACGCACACACCCACACACACACACACACACACACAATGTATATATACACTTGCACAACACACTCACAAACTCATACACAACGATCATTTGAACACTTTAATTTTAAGGTTTTTTTTTTTGTTTTTTTGTTTTTTGTTTTGTTTTTTGTTTTTTTTGAGGCCGCCATCCTTGTCAAGCTTTGCTTATGATTGCGGTCTCCTGCACTTTTCCAATAGAAAAGTTCGGATAATACTTTGAATTTATGATTATATGTTATGGAAATAGTAAGTTTCGTTATCATATGTACATATATTATGTAAAAAAACATTTTGACATGAAGAAATTATTGTTTGTTTATGTTGTATTATAACTTACATTTATATGTTCTTTGTTATTCAGTTATATTTTATATGGAAAAAATGCAGAAATCAAATCAAATCAAATCAAAATCAAATCAATCGATGATTATTATTGTTTATGATTCAAGATAAACTTGAGTTCTGGTAAAAAAAGAAAATGAATTCTCACATAATCTAACGAAACTTACACTGAATGTTCAAGATTACAAATAAATTTCATGTGCCAAACAATTTTGGAAGAAAATGTATACTGGCTGAGTAATGAGCATAGAAAGATAAGGAAATCAGGGTAGTACTAGCCCCGACACCATGTGTGTTGTCCCATATACATCTATCTGTGTAAGTGATTGTTACTTTACCAAGACTCTGCCAAATTTATGATGATTTTGATGACTCTAGAACCTTGCATTACACACCATTACTTACATGCTATATGATCAACTTTTCTGATCCATTCCACACCTTTTCTTTCACAATGCAATCGCATTACCAGTACTCAAGTTTATCTTTAAAATGATTATAGTAGACACATTATTGGGCATTAGACAAACTGGGAATTAGACCGACAGGAACTTAGACTAATAAGCAATAGACCAAATGGGTATTTGATTTATTGGAGATTAGACCAAATGGAAATTTGGCCAAATAATAATTAGCCTAAAGGGTCATTAGACTAAATGATAAGTAGATGACATGTTTATTAGACCGTGTTGATAACAAATGTGCTGGGTGTAAACCACACGGCAATAAAGTCTTGTAATCATTTACAGGATATTGGATGTCAGTGGAAGGAAATACTGAACGAGCTATAGGCGTAGACCTATGCCAAAGCAGTAGTCGAATCGGAACGATTAATGTATATCGTGAAAATGCATGATACCCTTTCCCTGCACATTGATGAAAATGTACTTTGGAACATGCTTTGTTACCACGCGATTACCAAAACAAATTATTGAATTCAACAAGGAAATATTCTTTTGTTTGCAAGTTGTAGAATAGTAAAGAGTCAGAGAGGGTTAAATAAGTTCGCGATCATTTCCAGTTGTCTGATTAAGATATTAGGGCCAGGGGCGTCGATACGGGGTGCGTATAGTAGTAGCCTTGTATTATTTTGAAAATATATATGATGACCGTGTAATTACGACTCATGTGCCCCCCCCCCCCCTCCCCCCAATCTTGAAGATGACTCAACACCTCCATTTGTCTACCCCGCCCCTACGGCATCGGCATGTAACTCGTTTCTGCATAATACGATTACATTCTATATTGACGCCGTTTCTTATGTTTGCCTTTTGAACAGGTATACGTTGGAACCGTACCGCAATGCTCACGAATCATTCAGCCGGTAAATGACCATTTGATCTGATCTACTGCTGAATGTCGATGTCGTCATAAGCACAAAAGCTACAACAATGGCTAAGCCGGGTGCCAGAATCATCCTTGCCGCTCGGTTCACCTTCTTCTGCATGGAGATTGGTCTTGCCAAGTCATTCGGCGTGCTCGTCCCCGAATTGGAAGAACAGCTGCAGACTTCGAACGCCATCATCGGTCTCATCACATCACTCTCCTTGGCAACGATGTACCTAGGATGTAAGAATATGCTTTGTTTTTTTTATGGAAGTGAGGTGAGAGGAAAATGAAGGAGGGATAGAAGAGGAAGTTATACATAGGTCTAGTACTAGTAGAAGGAGTGGTGATAGTAGATTGCATGGTAAGGTACTATAATTATAAGGGTCATATTCTATTAATTCATCTAAACCCGACCTGGGTCAAGTCTCACGCCTGGCTGGAATGCTCCCCATGGCAGTGGCGGATCCAGGGGGGGGGGCCGGGCCCCCCCCCCCCCCCCTTGAGAAAAAAATCATGTAAAATCACGTGATTTTTACCTTTTTTGGGGGTTGGCCCCCCCCCCCCCCCTGGCGCTCAAGGGGGTGGGGGGGTGCAAATTGAAATTTGTTTAAGGATCAAAAAAAAAAAAAATGTGCTCACTACCCTCACTAAAAAGGTGACCTTACCCCCCCCCCCCCCCCAACGGAGCAAAATGTCAAATTTTCAAATTTAGAGACCAAAAAAAAAAAAGAGTGTCCTCTTACCCCCTCTCCCCTTACCTCCTCTTATAGAAGCAGAAAATGAGAAAAACATGCCATTGAAGGTGTGAGGAAAAACCGATTAAAAATAAGAAAATTATGAATTGTTGAAGGTGCAGTCAATCAATCACACACAGATTAGCAACTATGTATATCGTATCTTGCGAGCTCCCCTCCCATTTTCGATGGTATATTCATTATTCACCTAAATATAATTATGGCAATTGTGTTTGTATACAACCCCTACACGTAAGAGAATCTATTCTGTCATTAAAAAGAAAATAAAGGTTTATGAAATTTTTTGTGCAGAGCAAATTGGAGAAGAGCTCGCATGATAATATACGCCAGTGTTGCTAATTAAAGTTTCACTATTTTCCTATTTCTAATCAGTTTTTGCTCAAACTCTCACTAATTTGTTTCTATTATTTTCTGCTTTTATCAAAACCAATTTGACATCATGGCGCGGGACTACTGTTAAGTAATATCACTCTATTTTATCACTGTTTATCACTACAAATTCTATAAAAAGGCATGTTGCTGGAAAATATAATGGTGACGTTCGGTAAAAAACCCAGACATAAGTATGGTAATAGTATGCGGGGCCAAATGCCACATACTTTTCTAAAGTAGATCAGACACATCACCGCCGTGCATCATTGTATGTGAATGGAAACCTGCACGTTTCGTCACCATGACCTCACGACCCGTAGTTGGTACACGTACGTTGCACATGGTTGACAAGTCTAATTGCTAATGAGGCTGATAACATACATGTATATAGCATGACCAGGCGAGTACGCAGGGGGAGGGGGGGGGGGGGGTGTTTTGGGGGTTAACCCCCCCCCTAAATTTTCTTTTTGAAAAAAATGAATGCTGACCTCTCGTCGTTGACGCGGGGATGGGGGGGGGGGGGGTAGAGAGGTGGGTGGGAGGGATGATACCTGATCAGGGAACATGACTGCGTGGAGGGAAATCTTTGAATGAATGTGTTTTTATTGTCAAAGGTGTATTTTCTTGTAGTTTAATTGATCCCCATTTGAGATTGATCGAGAATAATGATTTTGTTGAATTCTTTTCATCAATGCTTTGGGTATTATTTTGCCTATTTACATGAAAGAGCCGGTAGTATGGCAAGCCAATTTAACATAATGTCGTGATATCAAACATTACAATTCTTGATATCAACATTTTTCATTTATTAACAACGGGGAATCATTTCTTGAATCTTGATATTATGAATTATAATTATGTTTTGTATCACGAAATATAGGATTAAGTGATCAAACGGCTTGCCATACGGTAAAGCATTATCCACTATAATAATAATAATAATAGTAATGATAATAACAGTCATGATAATAATAACAATAATCATAATAATTATAATAGAAATGAAAGTACTTCTATATAATAATGATAAAAGTGGAGTCTTGTATAGCGCTCATGTCAGGCACATTGTCACTCCAAACGCTACATTATTATCACCCTGGTGTTATATTAGCACGGCTGCCATTACAGCGCTCGAGCTTTTTTAGGAAATAGTTCTTGCTGGGTACCCATTGACCTCACCTGGGTGAAGTGTGACAAAATGTAGACTAATGCCTTGCCAACGGACATTAGTGCTGCCACAGAGATTCGAATCCCGTACCTTGTGGTTCACAGTCCGGAGACTGGAGTCGCCATGGAATGTTGGAATAATCTTGCATATAATAATCCTTTATAAGAATAAAGTTTGTTGCGGCCAATTGAAAATTGCTTTATGCTGTGATTTTAATTTTTCACTATTATGACGTTACAAAAGCATGGGAATAAACCAATAATGACATAATAATAATAATAATGATAATAATAATAATAATAATAATAATAATATTCATAGTAATAGGTCCATTTATAAAGCGCAGCTATATACTCTACACTGGCTGTTGCTGAGCTGCCATAAGAAAGCGCAAATTATTCAAGGAATACTTTCCTACTGGGTACCGATTTACTTCACCTGGGTGGAGTACCTTGCCAGTTGCCAAAGGACATTGGTGCCGCAGCGGGACTCGAACCGTGAACCATGTGAACCACTAGACCACGTCACCTCTACACAAAAATTGGGTGGCCACTATCATCATGACTATTTTCATCAAGCCATTTTGGATAGCCATTTAATTCATTTCGCGTTTTTTCTTTATTTTGTTTTCTCACCCCCTCAAAGCCCCGATCGCGAAGATACTCATACACCAACTTCCTCGTCCTCGTATGCTAACAACTCTGTCCGGACTGGCGGGAGGATGTGCTCTGATTGCAACAGCATTCACCCGAAATCTTGTTTTCCTGGGACTTCTCTTCATGTTCGTAGGTAGGTAATCAGCCAAGTCATTTTGCACGCCCACTTACCGTACATTTTTACTTTAAAAATCTGTGCTACAATATTGCGCTGATTAAACTAAAGATGCATTTTTTTATTGCAAAATAACAGCCCAAGGATGCGTTTTCATAGCAAAAGAACAGCTTTGAGGTGCATCATTGCAAAATTACAGTCTAAGGGGGGCAAAACTAATGTATATATTCGCATCATGTTTGACCTGAATGAAAATTGTAATTATTTGATCATGATCTTCTTGATAATCCAAAGGGTTTGATAGAAGCAATGACGGGATAAAATCTCACCGAATACAAACAGCTTTTAAACATAATTTTTTGGCTACAATGACTTAAAAAAAAGTATATTCTAAACGATAATCAAATTGAATATGGAATGTAAGTACTTATTAGGACCTATAATGCATGGGGACTTGTGTTCATCCTTGATCATGATGACCGCAAGTATGATATACAAAGTAGGATTTGCAGGATGTAAAGCCTCGGTCACAAATGCCATTACGAACTGCTACGAACGCCGTACGAACGATTTTCAGACACTAAATTCGGGAAGACAATGGAAAAACAGGGACATTCGTACGAAATTATCGTTCGTTCGAACCTTTGTGACCGTAGCATAAGAAATCCTCTGTCCCTGTGTCACAATATTGAACTTTTATTTGCTTGCAGGATTATGTTGCTCGGTGGTAAATCTTCAAGCACTTGTGCTCCTACACGACTACTACCAGGAAGAATTCCCTTTTGCGAGCTGCATCTCCGTTCTTGGTATTCCTTTTGGTGCCGTTGTCTTGCCCCCGATCACAGAGAAGCTCTTAGAGCAATATGGATTGAGCGGCACGCTGATGGTAGTGGGGGCGCTGGTTCTGAACATGATTCCGATTGGGCTGGTGCTAAAAGTTCCAAGAACCCGTCCAGGTGGTAAGAGTCCGGAGGAAAAGAGAGAGCTTGATCCATTCATGCTAGTGAAAGCGTGTGAAACTCAAGAATATGTTCAAATACCATCCGCCAAAGATATGACGAGTGATGCATGTCCAGATGATGAAGATACTCAAGGAGATGGGCATTCGACGATGGTCAATGGGCGGAGGCTAACAGGAGAAAATGAGTCTATGATCCAGCGTGACGGACCTGTGTTGTCTTCAGAGGCGAATACTGCACCCATTTGTGATACAGAGATTGCACGATGTCCGCAGTCTGCAGAAGACACTTCACTTTACACGGGTAGAACAGATAAAGCACGGCAGCTTTCGCACAATTCCAAAAGCTCTAGCGAGGACATTCGTATGGTTGAAGGGTCGATTATATCATCTTGCCTTTCCATTTTCCATTTCGATGTCTTGATTAAGGAGCCGCTATTTTCGATCCTCCTTATTCCAAGTACTCTCTTGTCCTTCTTGGTGACAGGTGGATGGGTTCTTTTCGTCGTTCTCTACGCGGTCGAGCACGGAATCGACATCGCCCGCGGAACCTATCTCACAACATCCGGAGCCGTTGGCGGCATTGTTTCGTCCATCCTTATGTCCATTGGTCTTCGCTATCGCCCGGAATGGAGTCCGCTGTACTTGCTGTGGAACCAGGCGTTGCAGACTGTCGTGTTCTTCCTCCAGATACTCTACTCATCGTACAGTTACCTGATGGTAATGTCCTTCCTTATCGGCTTCGGATTATTCGGCCATAACGTGACCATTGAAGCCGTGTTGTCTGAGGTTGTACAGAGCAAGAACTTCCCTGATGCGTGCAGTGTCTTCTACCTGATCGTCGGCATTGGATACATCGGGTCGGGTTACATTGCAGGTATCAATACTCAGTCAATACGTTTCAAATATGACACAGAAATTATATCCTTTGTTCAATGCCGACTATATCGGATAGGATAAATCGCATCCAAATAAAACAATGACTTGGTTTGGATACTTTGGGTACGTAGGGTAAGAAAATTATGCAGCATTGTATTCCGACATCGGTCCAAGTCGAGTCCGGCATGATAGCTACCTCTTCGAATACCACTCCGTACAACAACACCTACATCGGAATATCTGCCCCTCCCCGACAGCTTTCACCTCGAACGAATACCTCCCTGTACCCAAGGGTAGTATTTGTCCTTTGGGTGTAAGTCCGGGGATTATTTTCCTGGCGGTAAATGCCCTAGCAGATCGTTGTCCGGGAGTGGGGAGATATTCTTTCGGATGCAAACCCGGACACGTTTTCTTAGAGTGATTATCCCTCGGATAGTCGTCCATACAGGTTATGAACGCAATTTTGGTTCAATTGTTTTCGTCATGACTGACAGTTTGTGACGGTAGTTCCTATAGTGAGTTGACTAGGGTATATAGACCTACACTTTCAGGAATAGAAGTTTTCTAGCGCTGTCCCGGGGTTTTCTTTTTCTATTTCCTGTATCCGTGATGACATCGTAGCTGTTGTTCCAAAGACCTTACATAAGTTTGTTTTCTCTTGTCCTTGTCTAATTTTACATAGGTTTCGTCCGAGATCAAACCGGTAACATCGAGCTCCTATTCGTGTTTCTTGGGGCGACTTCAATGGCATCATGCGGTCTCATCTTGTTGATCGTAATACTCATGCGAAGAAAACCAAACCTGCGAAGCCTTGATTCAGTACAAAAGGAAGATCAGAAGTCAGACGAAGCAAGACGTGTCTAATCAACACAGTGGAGGAAAACGGCTTTCATCTCATGTTTTGGTCATACTTTAACATTATCAAAAAAACTTTAAAAAAAAACAACATGAGGCAATTTCAATATCCGTGTTCATCACTCATTAAACGTTACGTAATCCGAGTAAGGTTTCAATAGTGGGGGCTGTTAGGGCTAAATAGGGGTTGTTTGGTGCAGATTCTTCTAAAAGCACCAAATTTGGCCCAGAGGTAGATTATACCCATAGAGATATATATACTTAAGTGTTAGTAGTATATATCTCTATGATTATACCGTACTTTTAAGATTTCTGCCGGACGCCAAGAAGGGCGCCCTCTGGGTATGCCATATTGGGCAAATCCAAAATGGCCGCCATCTGAGTTAAAGGTCAAGCGTAGTTCCAAAAGGAAAAGCGCTTGTATGATAATAGTTTATATATTTATGGGATTTTGGGGGTCAGAGAATCTGATTATGATGTTCTTTCATCGATTTGAGGTCTCCTTGGGGCTGCCATACTGGCCATATTGGTCAAATCCAAAATGGCCGCCATCTGATAGTTACAGGTCAAGTGTAGTTACTAAAGGAAATGGGCTAGTATGATAAAAGTTTATATATTTATGGGGGTTTTCGGGGTCAGAGAATCTGATTATGATGTTCTTTCATCGATTTGAGATCTCCTCGGGTCATACTGATAATATTGGTCAAATCCAAAATAGCCGCCATCTGAGTTACATGTCAAGTGTAGTAACGAAAGGAAATGGGCTAGTATGATAACAGTTTATGGAGTTTTCGGGGTCAGAGAATCTGATTATGATGTTCTTTCATCGATTTAAGGTCTCCTTGGGGCTGTCCTGCTGGTCATATTGGTCAAATCTACAATGGCTGCCACCTTTGAGTAAAAGGTCAAGTGTAGTTCCAAAAGGAAAAGGGATAGTATCATAAAAGCTTATATAGTAAGGGGGTTTTCGGGGTCAGAGAATCTGATTATGATATTGCTTGTATCAATTACAGGTCTCCTTAGGGCTGTCATGCTGGCCATATTGGCCAAATAAAAAATGGCCGCCATCCCAGTTAAAGGTCAAGCGTAGTTCCAAAAGGAAAAAGACCAGTATGCTAAAAGTTGATAAATTCATGGGGTTTCCGGGGTCGGATAATCTGATCATGATGTTCTTTTATCGATTTTATGTCACCATCCTGTCCTAAGGCTACACTGAAGTCGATTTCCTGGTTGAAGAAGATGACGAAAGATGCGCCAAATTCACACTTGAGTGGCTATAAATCTTGGCCTGTGCCCATATGTTTCATCGATATGCATCGATATTCAAAATGTGAAGTCTTATCAACTTATGAAGATATGCTTACTTTTTAGAAGAAAATCGTTCATCTGTTGTTTTGATGGGTGATATAAATTTGAATATTTTACATGAGCCTCTAAGTTCTGAATGTAAAAAATATTGTCAATTAAATGATATACATGACCTGCATCAAATTAATACTATGGAATGTACACGTGTTACGTCAGATTCAAGCTCTCTTCTTGATCACATGTTGTGCAATCAGCCAGAAAATGTAGATTCTTGGGGTGTTATAGATATTGGTTTCAGCGATCACTCGTTGAGTTTTTTATCTTGGAAGGTTCAGAATTCAAACAACACGTGCACTCATGCAAACTTAATCACTTTTCGGAAATCAAGAGGTGTTAATCTTGATTCATTTAAAACCGATATCAGATTACAGAATTGGACAGAGGTAGAAACTAGTCATACTATTGATGAAGCTGTCGATAAATGGGAAAAATGTGTAATGCGTATTGTAGATAAACATATGCCAATTAAGACTAAAAGGGTGAAGCAAAAACACTCTCCATGGCTTAATGATTCTATTTTTGATTTGCTGAAACAACGTGATAAAATGAAGAAGAAAGCAAAAGTAACTAGAAATGAAGATGATTGGAAAAGTTATAGAAAGATGAGGAATACAGTTACATATGAAATTAAAAAGGCAAAGAAACTATATTATTCTGATAAAATACGTGACTGGCATAGTCGTAACAATTCTTGGGAAATTTTAAAGTTATTATTGCCTAATAAATCGACAGATTCTTTTAATAGTATGAATAGTAAAAATGATAAAATTGCAAACGAATTTGATAAACACTTTGCCAATGTAGCTGCTAGTATATGTACAAATGAATATGTTCCTATTTTAGAAGAAAGGCCTGTATGCTATGAGAATTCTTTTGAATTAACCCCTGTTGATATAGCTGATGTTCTTAAAGAAATTTTTGCTTTGAAAAATAAGAAGTCTACTGGTGTTGACGGGATTAGTACCTTTGTTTTGAAACTGTGTGGGCCCGAAATCGTTCGGAGCATCACATACCTAATAAATAGGTCAATTAGTGAAGGTGTGGTTCCAACTAGGTGGAAAATAGGCAAGATAATTCCATTATTTAAGAAGGGAGATAAAGCTAATCCTGATCATTATAGACCTATTTCTCTTTTACCTTGTGTGTCGAAGCTTTTAGAAAGAGTTGTGCAGCGGCAACTCACCCGTTTCTTGTCGAACAATAATTTGTTGGCCAAACAACAATCGGGGTTTAGGTCTAATCATTCGACGACCACTACACTTATAAAAGTTACGGATGATTGGCTCATGTCACTGGACAAATTAAGGCATGTACACAGGCACTGTTTTTGTGGATCTTCAAAAGGCTTTCGACTTAGTAAACCACGGAATTCTTCTGGCAAAATTAACCTCTGGCGTTGGTCTACAGGGTTCATCTTTGAATTGGTTTAGAAGCTATTTAAATGGTAGACGCATAATAACTTCAATTAATAATACGCTGTCGTCAGAACTACCCCTTACACACGGGGTACCCCAGGGATCTATTCTCGGCCCCATACTATTTCTTATATTTATTAATGATATGCCCTCTTGTTTTGAAAAATGTTCGGTTCACCTTTAGTCAGATGATACCGTTATATATTATTCAGATAAAGACCCTTGTAATATTGAAAATGTTTTGAATATTGAATTGCATAAGTTATATTCTTGGATGAATTGTAATAAGTTGAAAATAAATTGTACTAAGACTGTTAGTATGCTGATAGGCACTAAATATATGTTGAACAGAAACAGTAGGTTGAACTTAAAAATTAATGATAATGATATTGTTCAAGTTGACAAATTTAAATATCTAGGTATTTTATTGATTGTGAACTAAAATGGAATGTACACACCGATGAATTATGTAAAAAGGTTGGAAAAATGATTAGTTTCTTAGGAAGGTTGCGTAACTATGTTAATGAGACTGGGTTAAAACTTGTATATAATGCCGCAATAATGCCACATTTTGATTATGGTGACGTGTTATGGCATTCGGGCACTAAGTCTCAAGTAGACGTGTTACAAAAATTACAGAACAGGGCAGGTAGAATTATTCTTAAATATAAATTATCTGAACATAAACCAATCAGTGAAATTCATAATATTTTAAATTGGGAAATGTTAGAAAAGAGACAAGTTAGGCACAGTTATACTTTGATGTATAAAATATTTCACGAGTTGGCACCTGTATATTTGAAAGAGAAGTTCATTGTTAAGACTACTAACTATGCCCTTAGAAGTACGAATTTAGTTTAGCCTAAACCGAAAACACAGAATTGTAAGCGTATGTTTCTGTATCGCGGAAGTAAATTGTATAATGGATTGTCTATGCACATTCGACAATCAAGAAGTTTGGCTATATTTAATAAAGAAATACAAAGTTTAGTTTAAAATGTTATGACAGAGATAATATATACTGGAGGACTTGGAAAGGGGTATCGGGAGGGGTTGGCAGTATCGAGAGGGTGGCGGGGTGGTGAGGTTAGGGAGAACGATAAGGGGGGGGGGGTGGGGGGGGTAGTGTATTGGTAAATTACTTTGATTTTTATAAAAATTGATATTGTATGTAAATTAATATGATTTTTGCTTTTGGACCCCATGGAAGAACAGGACCATTTTGAAAATGGTTCTGAAATGGGCTATCCAACCGTTTGTCTATACTTTACACATTTACTTACTTTCTTATCGTTTGAAATGTGTTTTATATGTATGTTTTTTAAAACTTGTATGTATATATGGATTTCGGAAATAAAAACAAACAAACAAACAAACAATGCAAACTTTCCTTTGTGAAATGCATAATAAATTCGTTTTCGAGGGTTGGCAAGGAAAATAGATAAAACAGTTAAAACAGGCCATGAATAAAGAAATAAACAGCTTGTTCGATTTGTTTTGAAGCATTATATTCAAAGAACCGGACAGCTTTATCTTTATTATCCATATAAATAACGTCTATAATCACTCTTAGATGGGAGATAATACCGATTACCAATAAGAAATGCATTAAGCAACGTCGAGACATAAAGGTCGAATCTTAACTTTATTTTTCTCATTCTTCTTTACATTTCGAAGCGTTGCATGGGATCTTAATCCTGTTTTTTCTACATACATTAATGCCCCCATTTAAGCATACTTTGAATCTGGTCACGCTTCAAAAAGTTCGTGGCCTAGCATTTTTGCTTCAGCTGTTGATGACCAAATAATGAAAGCACCTTTTATAGATCAGGGAGAGTGTGAAAATAGCACACAGTAGGAGCAGTGCAATTTAAATATCAAGGGATGGATTAGAGTTTATTTCTAAAATGAAATGAAAGGGCTATTTTATTTTCAAGAGTCCTTTCACTTCATTTAAGAAATAATTGCTCTTTATATCTAAGAGACACTTTCTCTTGAAAGTCAAATAAACTCGAGAGCATCCTGGGGCTCTGCCAGGCCCCTAAAGCTGTGCCATATTGTACGGATCTATTGGAAAGCAAAATAAGCCCAATAAATAATTCGTATATACATGTTTACATAAATATATATATAGATATATATATATATATATAGTTCTTCTATGCACACTTTTCTCTGTGAAATGCATAATAAATTCGTTTTCGAGGGTTGGCAATGAAAATAGATAAACAGTAGAAACAGACCATGAATAAAGAAATAAACAGCTTGGTCTATTTGTTTTGAAGCATTATCTTCATAAACCCGGACAGCTTAAACTGTATTATCCTTAAAAACAATCTCTCTTACATTGTTATGTAACTAGTCAAGTTTGGCCCCATTTAAAACTCAATGATCTATTACATAAAATTAATTATTAAGAATCATTAAAATAATCATTGAATAACAAAGAAGTATTTTGATATTTGCACTAACCTAGACAATTTTGATTGAATTTTGAAACTTTGAAACGCTACTATTACGACTACTTATATTATCGCTTACTAAATCGCAGAATTTGAAGAGAAACTTAAAATGTCTACGTTATCAATAAACATACCATA